CTGCCATGACAGCCAGGACTTGAGGGACTAAGTTCCCCCCAGGAGAAGAGAAGCCCAGAATGAACCTAAATCTAGGCAACAGTTTTCCTTTTGAGGGACCTGTTGATACAGCTGCACAGGAATGCAGGCTGTAAAACAGGGCAGTCCATGGTGCTGGAAAGACAAAAATTGGAGTTTGAGAATCCACCAAGGAGAAGGGCCTTAGGAAATAACACAGATTCTTAGTTAAGAATCCAGGAGGCCTGTACCCTACAAGTGGGGACGAAGCAGAGGTAGTCTTGAGCCTGACAAAGATTGCTAACCAGCCAAGATCAGCTTGGTTTCTGATTGGATTGAGGTGTTTTTGCTCCTTTGCTGCTTGCTAGAGGAGCAAGCAAGTCCTCTCTGAAAGGAGAGAACCCAGCCTCTACAGTTTTTTATGCATTATGTGCAGAATTCAATTAAAAAATTACCAGGCAGTTAAGAATCAGACTATGAGGAAAACAAGATAATAGAAATAGACCCAAAGGGGGCTAAGATATTGTAGTTTCAGACCGAGCCTTTTAAACAATTGTGATTAATATATTCAACAAAATAGTCGACAAGGTGGATAATTTCACTAGAGAACTAGAATCTATTAAAAAGGATCATATGGAAATTCTTTTTTTTTCTTAACATCTTTATTGGAGTATAATTGCTTTACAATGGTGTGTTAGTTCCTGCTGCATCACAAAGTGAATCAGCTATACATATGCATATATCCCCATATCCCCCCCCTCTCGCATCTCGCTCCCACCCTCCTTATCCCACCCCCCTAGGTGGTCACAGAGCACGGAGCTCATCTCCCTGTGCTATGCGGCCACTTCCCACGAGCTATCGGTTTTACATTTGGTTGGAAATTCTTGATTTGAAAAATGCTACTGATAGTAAGAACTCAGTAGGTAGTTTTAACAACAGACTGGACACCACTAAAGAGAGGATTAATGAGCTAAAAGCTAGGTCAGTAGAAAAATCCAGACTGAGTCATATTGAGTAAAAAGAACAACAGATGCAGAAAAGAGCATGAAAGACATGTGGCTCATGTTGAAAAGGTCTAACATTGGAGAATCAGAGGGGAATAGAGAAAAACGGGACAGAAGCAGTATTTGAAGAAATAATGGCTGAGAATTTTCCCAAACTGATGAAAGACACTAAGCCACAGGTTTAAGGAGTATTATGTACCCTACGCTAGATAAATTAGAAGAAATTCACACCTAGCCACAACAGACTAAAACTGAGAAAACCAAAGACAAAGAAAAATCTTAAAATCAGCTATAAGAGACAGACTGCTTGTCTTTTCAAAGAAGCAGTAATATAAGTGCATCTATAGAAATTCTATAGCTAACATCATAACTTAAGATAAAATATTGAATACTTTTTTGCTCAGTTTGGGAATATGACAAAGTCCACCATTACCACTCCTACTTAAGTTCATATGAAGATCCTAGCTAATTGCAGTATGGAAGGAAGGGAGAAAGGAAGGAAGGGAGGAAGGAGAGTAGGAGATTGAAAATGAACAAATAAAACTCTTTTGTCATAGATAACATGATTGTATACATAGAAAATCCAAAAGAATCAAGTCATATTATTATGGTTAACAAATAAATTTAGCTAGGCCTAGTTATAACATCAATAATCAATAACCAAGTGGCACTTTAATATTCTGCCAATAAACAATTAGAAAAATAAAAATTTTAGCCTATACCATTTACAGTAGATTTAGAAACATCAAATATGTAGGAATAAATCTATCAAAATATGTAAAAGACCTCTATACAGAGAACTATAAAACATTATTGAGCGTAAGTAAAGAGGATCTAAATATTAATAAATGAAGGAATATCCAGTGTTCATGGATTAAAAGATTGACTATTGTAAAGATGTCAGGTATCCCAAAGTTTATCTATAGATCCAATGCCATCACAAAAGTAATCCTAGGAGTGTATTACAGTCTGTGTGTGAGTTTATGTAGAAATGCAGAGCCAAGAGTAGCCATCTGGGGAAAATAAACCAAAGCTGGAGAACATAAACTGCTAGATATCAAGGCTCATTAAAAAGCTATAGTAACTAAGACAGTGTGGTATTACTGCTGTAAAAACAGACAAATAGACCCGTAGAACACAGTCCAGAAACAGGTTCACACGTATACAGTCAGTCAGTTTACGGCAAGTCACTCATTGTCTTTAAGCCTCAATTTCCTCATCTGTAAATAGGCTTAATAATAGTGCCTTCCACATAAGGTTTAAATATTATATATCACAAGGATTTAGGTGTTACATTAAAGAAGTTACCACACATGGAGGGGACATAGCAAGTACCCAGTAACATTTAGCCAGTATTAATATTACCACTGTGACTACCACTATTATTATAATTATCACTACTACTACTATTACTATTCATTTTCTCTAGTTTTCAGTAAGATCATCTGGAAGTGGGGACATTAAATCCTGGTTGGCAACAAGGAATATTTGGGGCAACACAGAAGAGCAGGAAACTGTCAGTTCTTAGCCTTCCTGGAAAAAAGAATTAGAGCAGAGAGTTAAATTTCATGAATCAGTCAAAAGATTGACTTGGAAACTGGAAAGGAACTTGGCCTAGCGCTGGTGTATAATGTACCTACAACTGTGAGACATTAGTAAGCATTTATTAAGCATCTAAAGTGGACTTGTCCATATATGTGTTTATAAGAATATTTCAGAGCCTGTGTGCGTACATAAGCCATTTGTAAAAACACTGTAGAAAATGAAGTCAGATACCTCTTCTTTCATCTGAATCATAGCCAGGGATCTGAGAAAAAAGTTTAGACACAATATTAAAAGGTTTGATTCCATAACTTTGAATGGAAAGTTTATTTCATAGCATCTTTAGGTAAACTTGGAAGTTCATTTTGTAGCATAGGTCACAAAGTCTCTGAGGACAGGGAGATAGTGGTACATTTAATTTCCTTTTCATATTCATATTCATATCCTAAAACAATGCCTCATATTTCATAAAGTGGGTTGCTGCTATATAGTGCCTTGTGCTATTTAGCTGAAGGCTTACCCATTATTCCAGCTATTTAGTGTCTCCAGCCCTCCCATATTCCAGCCCACGTGGCATTGGCATCCTGTCTTCCTCTCCCACTGATCCGCCCAAACCCCATCTCACTCATGGGAAGGAATACTAGAGACCTTCCACCACTTTAAAACACTTCAGCTGCCTGGCCTGGGATTGTATTCAGCAGATCTGATTGTTTCTTATGCTACAACTTCTATTTAGGCGACTTTCAATAAGGTTATTTACTCCCTGAGTTTTATTTGCCACAAAATATTGGTGATGAGATAATGAAAGTAAAACTCTCAGCACAGTGTTTTCATCAAAGTAGGGATTGGTGGTTATTATTATTATTGCCAGGGGCTTCCCTGGCGGTGCAGTGGTTAAGAATCCGCCTGCCAATGCAGGGGGACACGGGTTCGATCCCTGGTCTGGGAAGATCCCACATGCCGCGGAGCAACTAAGCCCGTGCGCCACAACTATTGAGCCTGTGCTCTAGAGCCTGTGAGCCACAACTACTGAAGCCCACGTGCCACAGCTATGGAAGCCCGCGCACCTAAGAGCCCATGCTCTGCAACAAGAGAAGCCACCGCAATGAGAAGCCCGCGCAGCACAATGAAGAGTAGCCCCCGCTCGCCGCAACTAGAGAAAGCCCGTGCGCAGCAACGGAGACCCAACACAGCCAAAAATAAATAAATAAATTTTATATATATATATATATATATATTATTATTGCCGAAGATCACACAGCCAGGAGGCTCACATCCAAGTCTTCTGTTTCTAAACCTCATATGCTGCTCGTAATTTGGCAAATTTGATGAAAAAATTTGGTACTCAGTCTTTCCAAGTCGGTCTAAACTTGGTCGGGACCCTGCCTGCTGCATTTCTGTAATTCAGTTCAGAGGTACAGCTGGAGGCCCATTTCCCGCAGTACTGCCTCTTCTTTCTTGCCCTAGGTCACTGATAAAACCTCCAGGTGGAACCCGTTTCTGGGGAGGGGAGAGGGAGAAGTGGGGCTCTCTCACCCCTGAGAGAGCTGCCTGTGTGCCTGCCATCATGGAAATGTGCCTGCCTTGCCTTATGGGGAGTGTGTGATTCTGCCCCTGTGTGTTCCTTCCCAGAGGTAACTTAATTTCCAAGATCAAGTAAGGAACAGTTGGTGTCTGCTGCTTCCTCTTCCTGCAGTTCACCCAGCCTATACCTCACAGTCAGGTAGACGTCCAGATTTCCTTGAAGTCCAGACTTCTTTGAAGTCCAACCTTTCAACTGAAAAGTGTTTATTGTTGGGTACCTACCACCTATAAGCTGCCCAATGCATGACACCCATTAGAATCTCCTTAACACACATTTCTCCTCCTCTTCTCTGAATTCCTAGAGTCTCGACAGAGAGACTCTTTATTCCTGTAGTCCCTATAGCAATTCCAGTCCTCATCAAGTCTTTGTTTTAGACGTATACATCTTTCTTCCAATTTGATTGCAATCTGAAAGAAAGAAACTCTTGCCTCTTACTTCTAGATCTGCATGTTACTTAAAAAGTACTTGTTGACAAGACTTTACTGGGCTAAAACTGATAGTGACAGCTCATCAGGAGAAAGGCTCCTACAGTTAACATTTCTGCAGTGCCTTCTGTCCTGGGTTCTCTACAAACAAGTAGCAGCCTGAGTTCTCCCACTGAGTGGCTCTGAAACATTGTTGTGTTGGAGACATGCTCCCTTATTCCAGTGGCACCCTTCTGTCTACCCAGCTACTTGGCTGACCTCTCACAGAAAAGGACACCATGCTGGAAGTGCTTTCTGAATGAGACAGGGGATGTGGGTGGAGCCCCCTAAATCAGGAAGAAAAGGAAATTGAATTGCCAAAAGGAATCTTATCATCCTAATAAAATGAAGCACATGATTTGCATTCCAGGTCCTTCAACTATTCTGTGGGAACCCGGGCGTTTTCCCATGACAGTATTTTTATCCCTGATGGGGGAGCAGAAAGTGAGCAGACAGTTCAAGCAATGTCACAGGACAACATCCTGGGCAAAGTCAAAACTCTTCAGGTAAGACAGCTTGAGATTGGAAGGTCAGAGCCATAGAGAAGGGGCCCGGCTATGGAGGGAAGTGGGGAAAGTTCCTAACTTGGCCTTGAGTAGTGGATTGGGAGGTCCAGGGGGTAGCTCCTGGGGAGAATGTTTGCTTTCTCAAACCTCACTCAGTTTTCTGGAAGCCTCTGTCCACCTGTGAGAGGTTCACTATCACCGTTGTACCCACCTCTACATAACACCCCCTCTCCTTTTCTCTCAAGTTCCCTCATTTTTAACTGGACTTAATGAGGACAAGTACCCTAGAGAGGCTGCAGAACTTGGGTGAGAGGAAAGAGCTCCTAACCATTAAGTGTTGGCCATAATCCCTGAGCACAGGGTTGACTGTCAGCTGAGGGTATGCACAGCAAGTGTTCCCTTTCCAAGTCTCCATACTTGGACAGTCAATGGTGAGACTCTTTATTATTCTGTTGTGTTTGTAAATCTGGCTGCCCTGAGCCACCCTGTCTCAGAGGGGTGCTGTGAAGCTCTTCAGCTTCGCTCCTGTTCACACTGCAGAGTTGGGCAGTTTTCCTACATAAAATTGACTCAGATGGTAACTCCTTAAGAATGAAAATATAATAAAATAATTTTTCACTAAATGGGATTGAAATAACGGGAAATCCAGGAAAAGCAAGGGGAGCAAAGACCCCTGGGATCTGACCAAGTAAGTTTGCCCCGAGTGCTCAGTAGAATTCACTCACCCGACAGAAGTGCCTAAGCAAACACCTCTCTGAGCTGGGGGTGCTTGGAGGCAACGCACACTATGAACAGGGGGCTCTGGTCTGCTGGTTTCCATGTAAGTCTACAACAACAAATGAACCAATAAATGAATGAGTGAATGAACCAGCAAAAACATAAAAAATAAAGGGGACAGCTGGCTTGAATAGCTACTGACACTCAAAGTTTTCTATTTTCTTGAAATATTCTTCTTTCTACTGATTATTAGCTATGTATTTTGTGATCTCTGTCTGGTTACATATTCCACACACACTCAACTGAATATAGCATATGGTGAGGTGGGAAATAGCCAACACCCTGAAACCACACCCAAACTTGCCTAGATCTTTGTAACTACCACACCACTGCCCAAGGCCATAATCCTGCCCTCAGAACTAACCTAGGCACTTCCTTCAACTTTCAGCTTTCCTAACTAGCTCCCCCGTTCTGGTTCTTGCTGGTTGTACTGCTACACATTTTATAGACTCAGAAGAAAAAGTAAGCTGTGTCTTTTCATAAGCCGGAGAAGGGGGAAGGGTGTGACGGCCAAAGAAAACCTCGATCCCCTTCCTCCTTACCTTTCCTTCTTGAAGTCTTTTATTTCCTGGAATATTATTGCTACGAAGTAATGAACCCTCATAATACTCCCTTTCTAAGGGGAATGACTTACTGATTTCAGTCTATGAAACAACTGTATTTTGCAAGGGCTTTCAAGGAGTTCTTTAAAAATTAGATAATAGTCTGTCGTCTTAAATGGTATCAGCTTTGTAATGTCACACCACCTGCCACTGCCACTCCAAGAAGTGGATTTGAAGTTGTAAAAAATAGATAATTCCTCAGTATTGAAAATACAGAAACTCAATAGAAATATGTGAATGCCGGTTGGTTGTCTTAATGATGTAAGCCATAAGTTTAAAGAATCTGATCTCATAACTAATAAAATGTAAAACAACTAACTTCCCTGAAGCAACAATTCTGTTAAAACAGGAGAAGAAATGTGAGTAAAGCAGAATAGCTGTCTAATTTGAGTGCTCTCCTTTGGACATTATCTACTCATACAAGGTCTGCCTAATTTTGCTTCTGCTGCATGGATTCACGAGCTTCCTTACAGCTCTAAAGTTATGTTTTTAAACAATAAAATAAGAGACTTTTGCTCTTCGAAGAGGGAATTGGGGACCATTATCATAGCAAATGTGATTTTTGGAGTGACATAAGATATAACTGTATCACCCCCAAAAGACTGTGCTTTATTTTTCAGTCGACTAAGCAGTATGTTCCTGGTAAGTTGTAGAAAATAGTAGTTAACTTTATTAACTTGCATGAATGCTTTGCATTTTTCCATAAAAACGTTATGCTGGTATTGATGCTTAGTAAGCAGCATAAAAGACCGTCCCCTTGTAGACTCCAGCATGGAATGAGGGTGTTTAGTTACGTCAGAGGCATGTATGTTTTTTATGTCTGAAATTGTCTTTGTATATGTGTGTATGTTTATTTTAAAAAGAGAGAAGTAATGGCTAACACCTATTTGACAGTAAATGTCCTAGCAGGCTGATTTGCCACCATTATTAAGACATTCTTTTGAAATGAGATTTCTACTGGAATGTCATTAAAAAAAAAAAAAAAATGCCATTTTTCTCTGGCTTAAGAAACTTCCTAGTCCTTGGAAACCGGAGCCACGCCTGTAATGACTGCACTTGGAAAGGTTGCCCCCTAGTGTCCACACGTAGTCATCTCAGCCAGAACTGTCCTATGTTGCACCCGTGATGGTTAGTATCTGTCTGCTGATGCTGAGTACAGAATGACTGAGTACAGCATAAATAAGCCTATTCTTTTCTGAACATCTTTTCTGAACAAAGTGAATCTACCACCTGCCAAAATTTCTGTGGCAAGCAACTGAACCTTTAAAAGAAAAATTACTTTTTTCCCCTGAGTATAAAAATAATTCATGTGCAGAGTGAGAACAGATTTTAATATATAGGACAGTTACAGGGACAGAAACAACAGTGGTGTCCTTTTTGAGGACCCTGTCCATAACAGTCAGTTGTTCTATGGCCAGTGGGTGAAATAAAAAGCCCCCAGCAGGCCTCTGCCACCACCTAGCTGTGCAGCCTTGGAGCACGTCATTCAACCTCTCTGACCTTCATGTGCCCTATCTGAAAAATAAGAGGATGCATGTGATGGATGATCTGAAGGGCCCCTCCAGTTACTAAAATCTGCCATTTATACAAAGTCACTGTTCACCTGCTATAGCACAGAGTGGCTTTGTAAGCTTTGCACTTCACTGCATTTGGACCACAGTGACCTTGATGTTCCCTCCAGCTGCCCAGAGCACAGGTAGGGAGGTGGCTGTTTATTTCAGATCAAACCAGGCTGTGAAGTATGTATGCACCTATCGATGATAAGACTCAGGAACATCACAGTCTAAGCCTGCAAGTGATTTTTTAGAATTATACCAGATCTTTGTCAGAAAATGCTTAGTCTATTAGTCTACGGACTGTTTAGCTCAGGAGGGAAAACCTCCATATTCAGTAGCTGCTATCTCCTGCTGAGCTGGATTTCACTTTAAAATGCCAAAGTGTCTTACCTTTGAGGATTTGGGCACTTCATGCAGCTGTCGAGGACACAAAGAATAAATAGCTGCTCTTAGCCACTTCTGCACAGAGCGAACGTCTTTAAATCTGTGCGCTTTTGATTTTGCTTGTTCTTTTAAATTCATTTTAACTATGGGAGTATACGCAGTTCGCTCAAGAGGACAGCAACTTTATTCTTCTGCCTTGTTCTTACAGACGTGGTCTGAAGGATGGCTGTGAAAAGTCTGGGGAGATCTAAGCTGGCAGTGTGAGAGCTGCAGAATATGATGTGCTTGGAATTTCCACACCATAGGAGAAAAGCCTTATAAATATGGATGTGCATTCCTATAACATCATTCTCCAACATTCCATATTACAACAAAATGGCCCCTTTTGAGTGAATAAAATATCACCCCTTTTAGCTCACATTCCAGTCTAACAGTAACTCCATTCATAGCCACAAGTAACATGGACTCAGTTTAGGCACAGCGGTTCCACTCTTCCCTCTGGCTATTATCTCAGTACATATAAATAATCCATGAGTATGTAAAATATATATATCTATATATGGAGGGAGTGGTAATGGTTTATTTTCCTGAAAACTTAAGGGCAAGCTCATCTCAACAGACTGGTTTTCCCATGACAATGCCTGAATGGTGGGCAGAATAAAAGTCACCAAAAAGCCACAATTATCCCCATATTCAATTCACTCGACACCTGAGATTGCCAGATACGTTTCAACAGTCACCTTTTAGTTGTCAGTAAATCACACAAAGTGTCCAACGGCCCAGTCTCCTTGAGTCAGCTGAAGGAAGCATTTGGAGTAGGAACCCCACAGGGCAGGTGCAAGAGCCTTGGCCTCGAGAGCCCAAGGCTCAGTCACCATGGTCTTGGACCTTCAGCCCTGGCCTGGCCTGTTCCACTGTCTCATCCCCAACCACTGCAGGGTGTGTCTGTGAAGACAGTCCTTTGTCTGGACAGAGAGGCTGCAGCCCTCACCCTAGACGATGGCCGTCATTTCTTTTTTTTTTTTTTTTTTTTGTGGTACCCGGGC